AGGAGCTCGCTATGGTGTGATGTAGATGTTTCTATCAATATATCCCCAGAACATAACTTTTTGACTGACTTTGGAAAGCCAGCAATCCTCTCTAATCCCTTCTGGGTGAAAAAGGGAGACATTTGCCCCAATGATTTCTCAGTCAATAATGAAGAATGAGAAAACAAAGTGCTGGAACTGTTTTTTTTAATGTTTTATTTTTATCTGGATTTAGGAGATCCATAAGAAAAGAAAACTGTTCAGTGCCCATTGACCCTATCCACCATAGAGTCCTATGAGGAGATGCACTACATGCCAAACAATGACACCATAAGTATGCCAGGACTTTGTGAGCACTATACCCCAAACACCAGCATTAGACACATTATCCACAACACTTGTTGAAAATGCCAAACACTGGTACTTGGTTGACCCTAGTCCAACAGGACCAGCCAATTGACCCTGGGGAAGCCACCCCAAGGCCACCTGTCTACAGGAATTCAAGGCCAAAGTGGTGTGTGTAAAAGTGCCACTGACATAAACTGACCCATCAATGACACCCTCAACTACAAGGATCCTCTCCTCCCTTTCACAGGATGCCATACACTGCAAACACGTAGGTGAATATTCAGATCCCACAGGAAGTAAACTGAAAATATAGAACCTTCCCTGGGAGATCCCCTCACCACGTACAGGAATCCACCTTGAAGGGACCCAGAACCCAACAATCAGCCACAAATGGAGAGCAAAGGTACATAAATCAAACTAAACAGGCCCTTCTGTTCCTGAGCCTATAGGACGATCACTGCCAAGACTGACAGTACTGAAGTCTAGGAGTAGTGTAAGAATGGATAGGAACAGAGGAACAGGAAGTGGATACAGGAAAGGAGGGAAAGCAGGAGGATGGAAGACAGAAAGAGGTAAAGCAGGAGGACAGGAGAAAGAAAGAGGTAAAGAATGATTATGGTAGAGATGAGAAACCAGTAAGAAGGAAGAACATTGACATGCAACCACAACATGTGACTCAAGAAAAACAATCACTCCAGTGAAATCACACTAGTAGAGGAAAGTATCAATGTGAAGGTATCAGAGATGAAAGGGAGACAAAAAGCACTTGAGCAAAAAAGGAAATTTTGCCCCAGCAAATCCTAGCAATGGGTCAACCTGATATGAAGTGATAAGGCTGAAGAAGATAAGTGAAGAAGTATCCACACACCTCAGGGGAATGGTGGATTACCAGTGAAAGAAGGTGGATGGAAAATAAATAGTGTAAAAGAGTATAGCATGTGAAATGAAGGTGGGAAACATGAAGACTAACAAAGTCAAACAAAGGCAGAAGATCCAACCCACAAGTTTGAAGAAAAGAGTTTAGGAGTTTAAGAAAAGGAATGCAGCTCTATATGATGCCCAGGCATATGAGGTAGCAAAGGAAGGAAAATGAGCAATGCATGCAAGAAGGTTGGGTAAAAGTAATCAAACATGGACAAGCATATTTGCAGCAGAAGTAAAAAACATAAAAAAAGAAGTAGGGACTGAAGGACACAAAAACATACGTGAGAAACCGTGTCCTTAAATTATGAAAAAGGTTTAGGTAGAGTCAAGACAACATGGATATAAGATAAAGGAAAGGTAGGTGTTGGAAAGAAAACTAGCAAAATCCCTTCTGTCACAAATGGAAAACATAGGCAGAGTTATTTCAGGTTCAAATGAAGGTCCATACTGCATGAATGACTCCACCACTCACTGCACACAAGCTATCACATCCCCAACACACAAATTCAACCCCAATGCCATTTTAGTTGTTAGTGAAAAATGCCTTGTTGTCTCACACCAGATAAAGTGGAAGTTACTGACATTTGTGAAATAAAAATGTGGAAATAAAAAGCCACAAAATCTGCAGGTGCAGAAAATATTAGAAAACAAAAATCTAACAATAAATACTTCTACAACAATTAATGCCTTTGGAGATACTTCCACAAAAAATCCCTATAGCTAAAAAGTTCACATTGTGCATATAGAGAGCAACTCTGAATTGGGAAAGTTACTATATGAAAAAAGATAAGGTATCATATCATAACCAATTATTTTACTAATACCAATTTCACAGTAATCTGTGTAACAAATTAATTTATGTGACACTAATTGATGTAATTAATGCTCATAGGTAACTGTTTATATGAATTAATTGGCCATCTCTAGTCCTGACAATAAACAAGTCCATTACTTTAGATTACTTTATTAATTTTGTGAGTCATAACACTAATCAACTAAACTGAACAAACTTGAATTAATTAAAAATAATAATGTGAAATAGTAATGGCAATATGTCAATTACTTAGATAGCTGATATAATAAAAAAAAGTAATAATGAGGTACACTAAGTTTTGATCATTTTCATAATAATAACCGATTTCCTCATAATCTTAATTAACACATTATTTTATAAAACAATAATTGATGTAATCAATTCTCGTAGGTGATCAGTTTTATCAATTAATCAAGTTAATCACCCAGCTCTAGTCTTGATTGTACACCTAACAACTAAAGGTACAAATAATACTGAAATTAATTATATCAAAGTAATTTTCAATTGTTTTATACACCACAAGAAGTGATTCCAAAGCTTTTATGTAATTTTATGCATGTGTCAAATACTAATTTATATTCATTATTATTATTATTAACAAATTTATTAATGTAGCATTCAAAGCTTCATTTTTTTTCCACTTATAAATGAATCCAGTAACAGAGGACAAATATCCAGGTTTGCATCACAATTTGAGAATCAAAACAGCCCCATTTGTGAATCACTTTCTTTTTTGCTTAGCATAGCATGCAAACCATTCTTTTTCAGTAAATCATTATTTTTATCTGTTATTTTTTCAATGTTAACACTATACAAGTTTGGTCAATTTGACCAACCTTGTAACCACCAAAAAAAAGCAACATTGAAATCTAAATTATCCTTTTTTTTCTTCCTAGAAAGACTTCAAATTGTACCATAAAACTACAATTGTTTATCCTAAGTAGCTTTAAACTCGTAACAGTACACATCTATACTTAAATTTTATTGCTTTATTGCCCTTTGAAACATGTCTGACTAGTACTAGTACTTTCACACTATTATAAGTTGTCAATCACTTCGGGAACATGCAGCTCATCTTATGCTATTGAATTATATCACCCACGAGCTGCTTGCATGCATGCCTTGTGAAAGTTTATTATATTATTATTTATTTTACCTAATCTAACATTAAATAACCTAAAGAGTTTCCTATTTTTACATTTTAGTTACTTTTATAATAATAAATAAATAAAGAATACACATGAACAACAAGAAATAAAGTACTTATCTGAGCCTTATTTGTTGTTTTGCTGTCAATAACACTTAACTCTACTTTTATTTTATACAAATGATAGTACTGCACTAAATAATTTTTATTTAATTAAATAATGCACCAAAGAACATAGAATAATAACATGCAAAAGCAGACAATGTCCCATAACTATCACAATTTCTCTGGCATTCTATGTGACAAGAACCATTATAAATTCATCCAAGCTAGTCAATGTGTTTCCTGTGGAAACGAAGCTTGTACTGAAAGAGAAATTAACATTTTTATGTACAGAAAACAATGTAATACAATAAGTAATTTGATAGATTGAACCTTGGCTTTCTAATGGTTAAAAATAATACAGTATTAAACGTAAGAGAGAACTATTAACAAATTCTGAAGTAGAGGATGTGACAGGTGGGTGTGGCAAGAGGGGTCTGATTTTCTATTTGATAGCTCTGTGACTAAACAGAATTGAAAGCTATGAAAATCCTGTTTTATCTGAGCGATGAGAACATTATAATCAGTAATTCACATTTATTAAAAATACTTCACTAAAAACCTGATTTTTTGTATGTGAAAGACTTCTAATGTTTACTGAAATTCTGCCAGATTTTGTGAAGATATACATCTAACCTATATAAAAGCCAGTGTGTGTCACATCATGCTTGATTTCTCAAAACATGAGTAACAATATCAATTTAATTTTAAACTTAAATTGTTTCTGACTATTTTCTGTTATGTTACCAATGTTTTTAATGAAGAACAAACCTCTTTAATCAGTGGAGACTCTAAATTAGAAATCCACAAATATTTTTCCAGTTTTGTTGGCTATGCATTTCATTTTATACTTCCAGTAGGTAGATTAATAATAATATTAGGTTATACTTTTGATGCTAAGTGACATGACATAAAAGCCATTGTTAGAACATAGTATTATCAAAACCCACTGGATTTTCTATATATTAGAAGCTTTTAATCTAACTGATTTTTACCAATAATTATTCTATGAATAAACCACAAATTCATTACATGAATGATCTTAATTTTGATTGGCTCACAAAGGAATTTACTGATGTTTGACTGTCTAGACTGCACTTTGTTGGTCAAGCTTGATTTTGCAAAATATATTTATTTCAGTTAGCTATGAAATGTGAGGCTACATTATACCATGGAGTGGGGGAGGTAGTACTTGCCCCATCATGTTTCATGGGCTATATGCTAGTACTATATTAGTACTAAGTCATTAGTGTCAAGACTATAACAACTTTAAATGAGTACAAAGTGGTCAATTTGACCAAGCCTGTGTAGAGAAGTTAATATGGGTGATACTAAACATACTCATAGATCAAAGTGGCTCTACTACTCAAGTACAATAACAACTTCCTAGTAAGTTTATCCAAACTCTATGGTGGGAATAAAATAAAAACCCTATCTACAAGAAGTTGTGAATGCAGGAGAAAAATCATATAAAAATTTACTTTAGTACATAAACTGAAAGAACAAAATATAACCTGTGGGAATCTATGAAGAAGTGTAAGATAAAAACTATATAAATGATTCTGTGGACAAAATGTTCTTGAAGATAAATGTAATGTTAAAAATATATACACACACATGTTGATCACAGGACCTTTCAAAACTTAAACATGTAGCAGTCTTTAGCAAAGTCAAAAGCAACAATACCTCTTCGATATGGTTCTATCAACACATCTGCTCGAGAACATAACTGTTTGAGTATTTTAACACCTTCAGGCTGTTTTATGTTTATTGCAGCTGATTTCTTTCCTCTTGCAAGGGTGTCAATATCTAACTGTGTTTGAGGCTATAAATACCAAAAAATTTGAAAAACTATTACAAATAAGAAATATTACATACATTAGAATAGGAAGTAAAAAAAAAGAATATTTGTATTTTAAAATATTATTGAAATTTTGCAAATAAAATGTGTTTCCCAAAATACCCAAGCACTTAAGCTTAGATAGTGTCATTATGCATTGGTTATAGCTGTTGTGTTTCATTTTAATTACAGTTTGTTACTTTGAGTTGAATTGTACAGGATTATCACTAATGTTAGAGTAGATTAGTTTAATTTTTGTATATTTTCAAGGCATCACGTCTGAGACATGGATCAATTAATCTATTACTATTAATAATAACATCCACCCTAGTGTTAATCACTGCAACATTAGGGTGAATGAATCTCAGAATATGGGACCAAATCCAACACAATCTAAAGCTGCAAGCAGTACCACAGTGCCTCACATACCAGATAGGTTTACAGGTCATCAAATAGAAAGGACACTTTGTCACACTCTGTTACTTGAGAATGGATGTCTAATTACCAGTTAGAAGTCGAGCTGAGGGAGACTTCTCAACAGTGGGAAAGCATCTTTAAACCCTACTGGCCAGTGTGTGCTCACATGAAGAATAGCAGTTTTATTCAAATAAGCTACTGGCCCACCATTATTTGCTTGCCTTATTAGGGTTGACAGGGACAGAGACTGGTTATTTATAGCCTAACACAAAAATAAATTGCAAAATAGTGCACAGATGAGTTTCTGGGGGAGCAAATGAGCACAAACTCAAAGAAAGGCCTCGTAAACAACACATGCATAAAAAGTACACCAGACTCCATAAGTTTCACATTACGATAGGTATGCAAAGTCAGGGGGATCATGAGAAAGAAATACTGTGTTGAGAAATTATATGCATTTTATTACATTAAAAGACCTAAACTATAAGATCCTGAGGAGTTCACTCTTACCGGCTTGAGCTTTATACCACATGCTGACTCAAAGGCTTAGATGGCCATTGCAGTTTAACATAACAGTAACATCTTCTACAAAGAATATGACAACTCTCTCAAAGTTATCCACACAGTTTGAACAATTAATGTGTACATGTAAGGGAACACAGCATACCATGCCAAAAACTGGAAGTTCCTGCCTGACCCAATTGACAACACTCCTATTTATCTAAAAGAAGGATACTTCTATGGCAGACACCCCAGCTGCTATTCATCTAGAAGAAACACTGAAGTACATGGGGGTAACCTTTGATAAACAACTCAACTTAACCAGCCATATTAACATCATGATAACCAAAACTATAAAAGGCATCAATGCATTGATAGCTGTAGCACAAAAACTGAAGAACATTCTCTGCTTATGATCTACCAAAGTCTTAAATGCTACATCCTGGATTATGCACTAAAGATGATCAGTATTAGTGCCAGATAAGATTGAAAAAATACTAAACAACTTTTTAACCCTCTGGAAACAAATAGATCAAAGGGCATATGTCACAATCTTCCTACAGAGTTATATTCCAAATTTAATTAAACTACTTTATGATCAATGTATTTTAATAAACTTATCATCAAAATGTAGTTTAAGTTTCAAAATTTCATATTATCTAAGTTTAACTTAGTTTGTCTGTGTCAGATGATGTAATTGCACGCTGAGCTGTCCATCTTAGATCCTATCTCTACCCTCATATGATTTTTGAGCATCCAACTAAGATACAAACAGAGAATATAAATTTAGAACTGTAATATTCTTGTTTTACTGAGATATAAAGCAGGTGCCAACTTCACATGAAATGCCCCTCCAGTATCAATCTGTCTTTAAAAAAATTTAATAAATCCTCTATGACAGAGGTTCCCAAACTTTGCCAACCAGTGGACCCCCTTCAACCCAAATATGTTCCATATCCTGTAAGAGAAGCATCTGTAAAGAGATGCAAATTGGGAGAGGGAGGAGGCAGAGATGAAGTGTTATCCCCGTAGAGTCACCAGACAAAGTCGGCTTGTAAGAAAGGAGTATGGCAGGATCCAAGGGATCCCGAGCAAGATTCTACTGATTGTGCAGCACCCACTGAAGGCAGCACATGCCTGCACAACCCCAAGGAACAAGGAATTCCATGGAGGCCCAGGTCCCCAAAAGACAGAACCTCACACACGGGAAGAGAAGGAGAAGACATGGCTTTGGAAACCAAGAGCTTGATTGCATTCAAATGAAGAGGAGACGGATGGACCTTGCTGAGGTAGGTATTGAAAAACACCCTCAACTGAATAAGATACTGTGTGGAGGCAATGTGGGAATTCTCCAGTTTGACAAGCCATTTCACATAAGCTACCTCCTGTAAGAGGAAATGGGTATGGTTGTGAGAGGCTTGATGGGAAAGAGCTAAAAGGAGCCAGTCGAAACTGCAAAGCTAATATGTGAATATGGTGGGCAAAGGCTCTTACCACGTGGCAGAAGATGTATGGCACCAATGCTAGACCGATTGGTAGAGTGAAGAACTGAAACATCCAATCCATGTGACGAACAAACCAAAAATAACATCTGGATGCTGGAGAAATTGGGATATGAAGGTAAGCATTCAGGATGTTGACACTGGTCAGCCATAGAACTGGAGTGTACAACCATTGGAGGGAAAGGAAAAACTCCTTGGTGAACCATGGGAGGTCAATGAGGCAGATGAGGTTGGAGAGATCAATAATAGAATGCCAATCCCTGGTCTTCTTCGGAACAATGAACAGTAGGCAACAAAATAGATCTTGAGGAGAAGGAAAAGAAATGGGGTATGGGGATAAAGTTGGAGGAGGCAGAAAAATGAGGAGACAGTCTTTCTGTTGGAAGTTGAAGAACCCAAGTGTCCATGGCAAAAGGGCCCCACAGATGAGCAAACCTGGCCAATCACACCCCCACAGTGCCAAGAACTGTGGGATAGTTGCTGATAAAACTAGCATTGGAAATTGCAGTGATGGGTGATTTGGCAACAGGCCACAGATATCAGGAAATATGGCATTGATAGAGGGGAAGATACAGGGGGTGAAATATGGGAGCAGAAGAGGGTTGTGAAAGACAAGAAACAAGGGAGAAATGTTGATGCACATCCTATACCAAAGATTCTAAAGTATCAGGGAGATCCCAAAAACAGACTGGTGTAACAAAGGAGCTAGATGGAGATCACATAAATAGAAGAGGCCATCCCTGCTAAGGAGATCACAACAACAAAGGGGGCCATGTGTGAAAGAACAAGGCCAAGGAAGTGCACCATAGAAAAAGAGTATGTGTATCTGCCAAAACCTCACAGGGGAATGGTAGATAGCCTCAAAAAAAAAGGAAATAGATGAGAGATAACAGATGATGGCAGTGAGAGCTTCACCTGCAGTATTGGACGTAATGTCTAAGCTATGACTGGGTTGTTTGTTTGGTTGGTTTGGTGCTTTGTGGCACTAAGCAGCGAGGCTATCTGCGCCAAACAACTGGTAAATACAATGAAAGTAAATTAGAGTAAAATGTAAAAATACAGCAAGTTAAAACCAATACATGTTGGTAAAAGATTTATATAGAATTAAAAAGATGTATAGTGTGTAAAAAATTAAAAATACAATCTAATCGGACAGTGTCACCACTACCAATGACACTGTCCAGCATCAGGGGTAAACTTTTAGAAAAAATGTGTCTAAAATAGTGCCGCCGCTCACGGTCGTAACGACGGCACGACAGTAAAACGTG